GGACGTCAGCTCTCAGAATTCTTCAAATAATGGCCACCCTGAATGAGGCCTTCTGGAAGTTTTTGTTCCTCACCCCACCCCAAAACAGTAACATCACTGCTTTTGAAAGCCATCCATATTTCAGGAGGAGAGTAGCAGGAGCTCTAAAAATATGTACCGGGTTCAGTGACTGGCAAACCTGTAGTGATAAAACTAATTCCATAGATCTGTGGGTCTCTGAAAGGTCTCCAGTTGCTACAAGGAAGGGCAGAGCTGCCGTTAGGCTTAAGAGGGCTACTAGCATGTTTTTTCTGCCATTGCTCTCCTGATGTTGTGGCTGTCATCATTACCCCTGCGAAGGGGTGTGTTTTCAGACCTTTGAAATGGCAGCCACCAAAAATAAAAGGGGTGAAGTAGCTACATTGTTCCCGTCTGCCATGGCTCCACTGGATGACCCTTCCAAGTGTTCGGAGCTCCAGGGACTTGGGTGTATAAGTCTGTAACTTAGAGCTACCGAAAATAATGTCTCTTCTTACTCGAGAACTTGCCTGCTCTGTTTCCCTTCCTCCGGACGTCTTGGCTTTATATGACTTCTGGATGGTTTGACTATGCATCTTGGACTCATCCTGTCCATTTGCTGTCATGACTAGACTGGCTTGGCTCTGGATGGATCTTGGACCTAGCCTTTGAATCTCCTGCATGTGATTTCCCTGTTTGCTAGACATCCAGTCCTGCTTAGTTTATTTGGGCCCCAGTCTGCCAAGGCTTCGTCTGAAAGTCAACGTGCCCGGGAGCAAGTCGCCATTACTGTTTTAAATGTTCGTATAGATTTTCATGTTGATGCAGCATTATTCTAGCTAAACGAGATACATTGGTAGTATTATGTGTACCATGCTAGTAAATGCATTGCTGTCATGCTATGTCACTTTATTTAAATTTTTGGGGGGAGGGGAAGGAAAATAGCCATAGCCCACTGAATGAGACCCACAAGAATAGGGGCAGGAAGGAGAGTGTTGTTAATTGAAAGGGAAACAAACTGGAGCAATCCAAAGACCTGTCTGGACCACCCCATACCATTCTCATGGGAGAAGAAATGTCAATCAGTGTGAACAGAAAGATCACTCAAGTGAGAGAGGAAATAGGCCACGCTAAGGATAAGAACCTTTTAACCTTTCCAATGCCCCCTTGTCTGGATGTGCCCACAGTTCCTGAAGTGGGGAGTTCCATCCATCAGAACCTCCTTCCATCAAGTCCACCTGCACAATGGAGACCATGGTGAGTAAGAAGGTGCCAGATGTACTTGCCTAGAAAGCAAATAATTCAGGAACATAGAGCCTAAAATGAAGATGCAAACAAAAACATTTTGAATACACAAAAACCAAACTTAAAACGGAGGTGAAGAGAGTAATTCAACACATTAATAGGAAAAGAATGTTGCAATTTAGGCTATCAGGAGTTGGACTCTCTCAAGACTAAGAAAGAAAGAAAGAAAATAAAGAGGTATAATTAACATTTGCCAGGTTATCAGATAAGGAAGCAAGATCTGAAACCTCCTCAGGTGGAACATGCATGAAAAGTTATTACAGTTCCAAACCCCACCTCCATTTTAGAATTTTTAGCTGTCCTGTAGTCATATACATATAAATATAGGCACAAACATGAACAAAAAAAGGCACACACAGAGAGATTTAGCTCTAGCATCCTTCCAGGACACCGCACCAGTTATCAAGCCAGAGAGCTAAGCTACTGGTCTCCGCCTCTGCTCTCCAAGACAGTGCCTATCAATGATGTGGGAACTCCGCTCCGTGGCCTTCACACGAGCAGTCTTTGCTGAATTTCTAGCCACGTTGATCTTCATCTTTTTCGGCCTGGGCTCGGCTCTCAACTGGCCCATATCTCCACCAAACGTCCTCCAGATCTCACTGGCCTTTGGCCTGGCCATCGCTACCTTAGTTCAAGCTGTGGGTCACATCAGTGGAGCTCACATTAATCCTGCAGTGACACTGGCATGCCTAGTGGGCTCCCAAGTTTCCTTCCTGAGGGCTGTCTTCTACGTGGTGGCACAGATCTTGGGAGCTGTGACAGGGGCAGCCCTGCTGCATCAACTCACCCCACACCATATCCGAGGGAGCTTGGCCATTAACAAGGTAAGGATGCTACTACCCACAGAGAGGGGAGGGAATGAAGGGCTACAGTGAGATGTCTGCGTGTGAGCATCATCCAGGAACTCTGGGTCAGCCAAATGATGCCTGTTTTAAATGATGATGATGATGATGATGATGATGATGATGATGATGATGATGATGATGGCACCACACAGCAATCTCCCCCTGCCTGTTTTATTTTCACAGCAACCTTGTGAATATGAGGCAATGAATGGAAGATCACCCTGTGGATTTCGCTGCACGGTGATCAGACTGCTTTCTGCAAATGAGCTATAACCATTCTCCTATACTGTCATATCCTTCTGGGTTTCTGATAGCATGCATTTATGCTGGGACTGAGAATACAACCCAAAAGAGTTGCACTGAATGAAATGATGCAGCTCTCCTACCTTTGTCTATAGTTTGGGGTTCTGTTGAGTGGAAAACTAGGTCACACCATTATCAGGGAAGTTACAGCTCTGTGGCATGGATCTGAGAGGTGTGCCCTAGGATGCATCATTTCATGTCAGGATACTCCAGAACCTGATTCTCAGAGCATCTGAAAAAGCCAAGTGTTCAAACATGCCTTGAGTCATCAATAGCTCTGCCTGCATTGGGGACGCCCTGATGGTATTCCTTCCTTGATCATGTTTTGATTAGAGATGGAGAGCCAGTAAATTGTAGTGGACAGAACGCCGAACTAGGATTCAAAAAACCCAGGTTCAAATTCCTGTTTTCCCCATGGATACTCACCAGAAGGATGATGGCTATGGTAAACCACTCCTTGAATATCTCACATGCTTCAAAATTCCTGTTAGGGTCACCATAACTTGACAGCATGTAATATCAAAGAGCAAAATATGCAGTGTATTGGACTTGAAGCAGAGAGGTGGATTTAGCCTGATTCCTTGGGAATATAGCTCCAAAGAGCTTTCCCTTCCTGATTCTGTACCATCTTAGTTAATCAAAGAGTGTGGTAACTAGGTTACTGCTGTTCCATTTAATGATGAGAAACTTAGATTGAGAGACTGTGTCCATGGCTGACATGAGGGAAAGCTCCGAGTCTTGAGTATCTTAAATGAAAGCTATCACTCTGTATTCCTCAATCCCTTTCAGGCCAAGCCACTGCAAGTAAGAGGAGTTTGGTCCTAACAGGTTTGTGTGTTCTTAGAACAGTAGACTTAATCCTTCACTGGAACTGTCCTGATCTTTGTGGGTTCCGTTCTCCCACAACTGCTGCAGCAACCTCTTCCTGAGGAACTGAACTGAACTAAACAGCTTAATTTGGGGTTAAAAAAATAACCTGTTTACATGTCATGTACCAAATCCCCTGCACAGTGCTGCCAACTCAGGATTCCAGGCATCTCTGCTGGCATGACATGTCTTTTTGTACGAGAGTCCATAGTACTCTTCCAAACAACAATGCACAGTAAATTAGGTTATAACCACACCTTCCTTGACATTATAAAGGCTTATTTCCCAGTTTCACTAGGTCCTAGGTTTCTTATCACCAGTTACATAATGAGTCAAAAATTGGGGCCAAAAGTGGCATCTGAAGCCACTTTTGACCATCCTGCCATTTGACTTGTTTTTAGTTTTTGGATTTGAGGTACCAAAAGAAGGAGTCAGGTGCACCTGCTACAGCCGCCATCTTGATTACCTCACCATTCGATGATACCTCTCATTCTACAGTGGGAAAAACTATGGAATACTGAGGTAACCAGGGGGCTGGCTGCAGTGCCTTGCACAGCCTGAGGAGACTTGTCGCTTCCTAGTGTCCCACATGCAATATAATCAGAGCTTTGAGTGCCAATGTAATGCTTTTAACATTAAATCCATTACTTTTCCCATGTGTGTAAATGTTTCTTTCTCTTTAGGAGAAGAGATGAGATATTGTGTAAGGAAAGACTTCATGTTCCCTCAAACAGCTTTTCCATATGGTAAAACCACAATCCCTAATGGACTGTTATATTATGGGATTTGTAGTTCACCTAAAAAAACAAATTGAGGAAAGCTATAGCACCATAACAAAAATAGCACTTTGGATGGAGCCAATGACAGCTAGGTGTCAATGGCAACAACTTATGCCATTTTCTGTATACCCCATCATTAATTTTAAAATTAATGAGTTATTTAACAAATTAATGCCAATTCAACAAATTAATGTTATATTATGGGATTTGTAGTTCACCTAAAAAAACAAATTGAGGAAAGCTATAGCACCATAACAAAAATAGCACTTTGGATGGAGCCAATGACAGCTAGGTGTCAATGGCAACAACTTATGCCATTTTCTGTATACCCCATCATTAATTTTAAAATTAATGAGTTATTTAACAAATTAATGCCAATTCAACAAATTAAATGTTCGCGAATCACCCATCTCCTGAAAAGGACAAAAGCTGATCCCACAGCTATAAATACTCAACTATCCAAACAAACTGCACCACAGCATAGAGTTCTGACTCCTGTCCTCTGAAGATGCCGGCCACAGAGACTGGCGAAACATTAGGAAGAGCATCCTTCAGAACATGGCCAAAGAGCCCGAAAAACCCACAACAAATTAAATGTTCTCAGGTTTTCATGTTTGACCTGCCAGTTTCTTACATTTCACACCAACAAACTAATCCATGCTTAAGAAATGATTAGATATATATTTTGGGCCTTTTATATTCTCTTAAGCAGCATGAAAAACTGATGTGTTAAAACATCACTAGGTCTGAAATATGAACCCTGGAGACTTACAATACAAGAACAAGAGACACAAGACAAATGGTTCTATAAGTCTTCTTAAACTGAAGTTATAATCACAGCACATGCAGCTCATCCTAAGAAAATTCATAACTTTCAATGTATTTGTCACCAGTGGATAAAGAATTCCCACCACAATTCTCCTGAAGTTATGGGTTTTTTTATTCTAAGCAACAAGATTTCATCCACAGAGTTGGTGAACATGTTGTTTTGTTTAGTCGTTAAGTAGTGTCTGACTCTTCATGACTGTTGTCAGCAAGGTGATGTCTCTGCTTTTTAAGATGTTGTCTAGGTTTGTCATCACTTTCCTCCCCATAAGCAGGTGTCTTTTAATTTTGTGGCTGCTGTCACCATCTGCAGTGATTATTGACCACATCCAGCTTCCCAAGGTTCATAGATCTTACATTCCAGGTTCCTATGCAGTATTTTTCTTTGCAGCATCAGACTTTCCTTTCACTTCCAGGTGCATCTGCAGCTGAGCGTCCTTTTGGCTTTGGCCTAACCACTTCATTAGTCCTGGAGCTTCTTGTACTTGTCCTCCGCTCTTCCTCAGTAGCATGTTGGATGCCTTCCAACCTGAGGGGCCCATCTTCCAGCATCACATCTTTTAGCCTTTTGTTTCTGTCCATGGAGTTTTCTTGGCAAAGATACTTGAGTGGCTTGCCAATTCCTGCTCCAGGTGGATCGCGTTTAGTCAGAACTCTTCACTATGACTTGTCCATCTTGGTTCTCCCTGCACAGCATAGCCCACAGCTTTTCCGAATTACTCAAGCCCCTCCGCCACGACAAAGCAGCAATCCATTAAGGGGAAACATAATTTTGGGAACATAATTTCCCTCAATTTTACTGGTAACCTGTAGTAGCCTTTGGGAAAATGTACTTCTCAGGTGACTTGCAGGCAACACAGTGTGTAGCAGCCTGCGAGGTGCTGAAGGAGGAACAAGAAAGAAAATGTTCCTCACATTTTTCCCTCCTTCTCATTTCTTGCTACTACTGGAGTAGAAGCCCAGGTAACCAAAGAAGCAAGTGAGAAGGGGCTTGTGTGATTTGTGGGTTGGGTGGTTCAGTGGGAACAAATCCGGGTGCTCACAGACAAAGCTTGGAGCCAACACGTTCCAAGTCATGATGTTTTCTATAGCACTGCTGCATTCCTAAAAGTATGTTAACCCCTACTAATGTTGCTACTTTGGGGGATGTAGTGAATCATGTGGTTCCAAGCTATTGTTTTTGAGTGGACGTTTGTGGAAAATTCGCAACAGGGATTATATATAGATAGATTGCTTTTTTTAAAAAAAAAGAGCAACGAAACAATGCATTACTTTGAAGAAGTAATGGTGAATAAAGTAATGGTGAATAGATCGCAAGTCACTTGCGATCTATAGATAGTAACATTCCAAGTTCTATTTACAGGTAGTTGGGTTTGAGGGCAGAAGAGAGGCTCAGGAAGATCACAGGATAACTTAATTTAAGGACCTCTTGCATTCCTTGGCCAAAGATGTGGAATTCCTTTGAATGTGATTGGCTGAAGCATAACTTTTTCCAAGGAAAGGAAGGAAATTTTTATTGCTGCATGCCTTCAAGTCAGAACTGACTTATGGCAACCCTGGTAGGGCTTTCAAGGTAAGTGAAGTATTTAAGGAGCGGTTTTACCAGCCCCACCCTACCAGTGAGTTTCCATGGCAGAGCAGGAATTCAAACCCAGACCTCCTGAGTCCATCACTCTGTCCACTACAACACCACAGAAGGAAATAGTTCTGCTTAGAATCTGGCATATTCCCAAAGAGAAATTGCTTACAACATGGCTCCCTCCCATATTGCCAGGGGATGTCCAAAGTCAAAAGTGGCATGGAAAGACTGTGGCCCTTTAGCATCACCCATCTCAGAAACTGAAACAACAGTAGCAGAAGTGGAAATATCCCTTGACTGGGATCTTTAGGGCTGCATGCAACCCCCTGAGTCACCAGTTGTGCACCCTTATTCCAGACCAATCGAGGTAATTTTGAGAGGGTTTGCAGACAAGGTCTCATGTGCTGTGCAGCACAATCATTCACTCTGCGGAGGCTTTTGTTGACATCCATGTGTCCTCAAAGGACCAAGAGTTACATCACTGCATTGTTGTGAACTTACACCTAATCAGAAAATAGTGGCAGGACATGTCTATTGTAATTGCATATACCTAGGGTTTGGGAGCACTGTACAGTATACACTTCTATTCAGATGTCATAGTGGGCTTTCTTGGATGATGGCTATGATTCTGTTTTGATTAGTTTTTAATGTTATATAAGTTGTAGCTAGATAACTGTATATCATTGGGCAGGAGAGCCATTTGCAATACCAGTGGCATTCCAGCAGCAACAAAGATTTTCATCTGTGACGCACTTGCTCTGCTGGTCAAATTAAAAAGCATACTTGAATGCAGAAATTTTGTATACCTGAATGGTCAGATTCTTGATATAGTCACGCTTGGCTTGCAAACAGATATGGCTATAACTCAGGCCTACATAATTTGTGACCCGGCAAGCTTAATGAAACTCACCAGGCAGAGATTGATCATAACATGCCTCAGAACCTTATTTTTCTGAAGTGCCCATTAAGCAGCAAAAAGGAGGTGTCTATTGAGCCTCTGGTGGGACACCATGCATGGCAAGATGGGTCTGTTCTTCAGTGGGACAGGTCTCATGAAAAGAATATTTATTAGAATGACAGAAATCAACTCGTGATGTTACTGTACAAGAAGCAGAGACAGAAATGTGGAAAATTCCTGTCAAAATGCTTTAAATGCCCCTTTAAAATCACTTTTAAAAGTAATTGTAACAAATAGGTAATGTTCCTCCTCCTCATTGCATTTCTTGAAATTTAACTCCAATCATACCCTCTTTACCAAAACCACCTCCTCCTAATTAGAGGTAACTGTTATATCTTTGACTCATTCCTTCCAGTCTCCTTATAGCACTTTTATGTTCTCGTTATTTAGTCTAGCATGTTGTCAATCTTGTTGGTGTGAAACTGCCCTTTGGGACTTTTTATCTCACCTCAGAACATGCAAGTTCCCTTAGGCAAACAATTGAGCAAGAAGGGAGAAGTTATAAGAAGAATGATGCCCAGATAAAACAGAAAAGAGGTATCATATATACAGTACATACTCCAGGCAATGGTTCTCCGCCTTTGATCCTGCATGTGGTCTTGTCATTTGGAGCGCAAATCCCTGGTCATTCCTGTTCACGATGGAGTTCAGGTTCTTTGAAAAGGTGGGCATCAAGTTATACGGTAAAAAATTCATGAGACAAATCTCTACCTCTCAAAAGAATACATTGATTTAATGCTCTGGGACACTTTTCTTCCCATAGACTCAGGTTATGGTTTCACAGGGAAAGAGATCAAAATTTGGACTGCTTGTGGATTAAGCCAGTGCAATCTCTTTCCTCGTGATCACACAATGCACTGGGAATTGTGCTCCAGCCTGATCCTGATCCATGTCCAGTTACTACTTTTTGGGGGGCCAGGATGAAGCAATTCCCTGGCAGATGGAAAGGTCACTTTAAGGGAGATTGCCCCTTGCAAAGCAACCTTTTCTTGAGTGATCAAACACAGACCTTCCTCTCTCTCTTTAAGGGAGATTGCTCCTTGCAAAGCAACCCTTTCTTGAGTGATCAGACGCAGACCTTCCTCTCTCTTCCTATCTAATCACACCCTCAGATAGAATTGTTATCACCCTGTTTACCTACCTTCTGAGCTTCTGATTTAAGCCCAGGGATCACAGCCAGAAAAGAAGGCAACATTTCCTTCAAAGCATGGATTATCTGTACATTCTTATACAAAACATGTGTCTTCTGTGTCCATGAGCACATAGCAGAAGTGCAAGGTTTTGAATGGACCTACAGTTTCTGTACTTGAAACAAACGGTGTTTATTTTCCCTGTTGTTCAAGGTTCTAGCCCTCAAGGCTATAAAGAGAAATTTGGGTGATGCTGAATATAGCAAGATAAATGCCTTTTTGGGTAAGAATTTCAGGAGTCAGAGTTTGAGTGACAGAGCTTTTGCCCCTCCCCATGACAGTTACAAGCATCATTTGAAACAATGAATTTGCACAAGGTACAGTATGCCAGGACCAAATTGAGCTTTTCACAAGACAGCTATCGGGTGTCCCCCTGGGTACAGAACCCTTTGCTGCTCCCTTGCAGTGTTTCTAAAAGCATTGCCCATAACGACTGTTGGTCAGGACCTATTTCAGGGCTGGAAGTTTGGCAATAGTGGCTAAATTCAGTTCCATCAAATGACGCATGCTATAAATGCAACCTGAAGAGTTTAACTTTTCCTGCTTTCACTCCAGGAAGTATCAGGGACCTCCTTTTGCCATCAGAGGCCAGGTCTTCCTAGAAAGGATTCTCCTCTTACATGAAAGGAGCACTCGTTCCTTGTTCCAGTGGAGCACTGCACTCTGCTCGTACCTAGCAGGATCGTAGGCATTACTGTTAGTGATTCTGTAATGATCATGCAGCGTAAACAGGAAATCATGCAAGTGATTCAGCTGCAGAGTACTGTAGTTTAACCAGGAGACTCCCCACTACACCACGAGGTACAGGTACCATATTGAGCAACATTTATTATGCCACCATTCTTGTTACTTTTAATGAGGGAATTAATTTGTAGTACATGTCTTAAAGCGTTTAGGGCTTTATAACAAAGATGCTGAACCTGGCATGGAAGCAAACCAGTAACCAGTGGTGGCGGACCAGAATTGGGGTTATCGAAGTTCCTCACCCCAGCAATCGGTCTGGCCACTGCATTCTGGACTTCTTGAAGCTTCTGTATCAGCCTCAAGGGGAGTCTCACGAAGACTTCATTACAGTAATCAATTTCTTGAGACTACCAGACATCCAAATAGGGAGACAGCTGGACAAATTGCAGAAGCTGGAAAAATTTGGAATGCGCCCCAGAGGAGATCTGTTTTTCCATGGTCAACGCTGGGTCATCTGCCCTGAAGTGTCAGACTACACAACAGAATTTTCTTATATTCCATTAACCACTCTAAATACTCAGTGAAGTTTAGGATGCTTCAGTATATATTTTATCCCCCAAGACAGGAAGATGAGATTGTCTATGCCATTATTTTGCTTCTTCAGTCTGCCATTCTTCTTTTCCCAGTGGATTTCAACATTGCATTTTCCTCATAAGCCATGCACTCCCATTAACAACAATACAGAAATCATTTGCAGTATGAGTCGGTGACCCAACACCAGCATGATAATTGCCACTCTTGCTTTAAAATCCATCAGTAAGATTGAAGATTGAGGTGTGGTGTTTTTAGAAAGAGATTCAACTGAAAGTCACATCTTCAAATCATGAGCATTTCAAACTGTTAAGGGCTCAGTGTTAAATGCTAGTAAGAATGCTTATGGCAATTATCAGTAAAAAAGTTGCCAAATTTCTCTCCATTTCTGTTTCCATTGACTGAGGAAGTGATGCATGGACGGTGCAGTTCTAAACAAACTACTGCATTTTAAAAAATGGGTGTTCTCCTCTTGTTTGTTTCTTCTATCCAGACAGAACTTAGCATTAACTAATTGCAAATAACTAGTTACCAGCTACTAGTTACAAGGGACAGATACATTACATTGCAATTGTTACAGCAAAGAATAACTTCACTCCATTGGCAAAGTTTTTTATTACTTTTATATTATGAGGGTGTGGTTTCAGTGAAGGATGGAGGTACTGCATCACATGCTGTCTCATGTGATACAGTACTTAATATACTGTATGAGTATATTAAATATATGAAATGGCAGTGAGGTGGATGGGGAAAAAGGTTGTGGCTCGTTGCATCCAGATGGTTTTTAATTAAATAGGTATGTTACTGTACAAGAAGCAGAGATATTTTTTCTTTATTCTTTTATTCCTAAAGTAGAATAAAGGAATAAAGAAAAAATAACTTTCTAATCTCTTTCCCTGGCAACTCCTGGGAGAGGCCCAGGTATAATCTAAAACCAGCTCAGTGTCTAATAATACTGTCATCCTCTCACTGTCTCTTATACAATTGTAACTAAAATACAGATTCTATGACTTGAACATCAACCACTCCCTGAATCAGTTGCTTTGTTCACCATCAAGGAAACTTAAAAGCTTGCACAGTATTTGGGAACTGGCCTAACAAAGGCATCAGTGTGACACTGATTTTACCAATTGTTAAGAGTAAAGGTCCTGACCTTGCTTGTGCTTTCTTTCAGGTGTACAATAACACAACGTCAGGGCAAGCAGTAACTATGGAGCTGTTCCTCACCTTCCAGTTGGTCTTGTGCATTTTTGCATCCACTGATGACCGCAGGAGCGATAACATAGGATCACCAGCTTTGTCCATTGGCCTCTCTGTCGCCCTGGGTCACCTGCTTGGGGTGTGTATGCCCACTGCATTTCTTGACAGCTCCCTGAGCATGCATGGAGGATAGTACTGACCCTAGAATACAACTCTTGTATTGCTTCTATAGCTGGAAAATCAGTGGGCAGCTCTAATGGCTGCACCAAATGTTCACGGCTCAACACTGGTGATTTGGGTGGGATGGTGATTTCTCCTGAAAACCGCTCCAATTTTGCAAGTATATATGTGGCGGGGGGGGCGGAATGGGGAAAAGAGGGAGATAACAACACTATTTCCACTTATTCTTTCAACTTTAATGCTATTCTTAGTTGGTCCCTACACCTTTCTGGATTAATCACAGGGCAAATCAGTCAAAAATCATATCATGAACATGATGAGTCTGTCATGTCATGACATCAGTGAGGACAAGTGAGGACAATTCAAATAATTATATAAACATGTTCACAAGAGGAGTTTTTTTAAAAAATAAATAAATTAGTCGGCACTTTTCAGCTCTACAAAAATTAAACTTTTTGCATTTTAAAATGTTGATGGTACATAGATCAGTGCCCCACTGAAGCTTTGCTGAGCAAAATGTTGTGCCAGCATAGTTACCACAGGGTCGGGCCACTTGTTGTTACATGAACTTCAAACTGTAATTTGTTGGCTATAATGCTCAAATCCTCTGTCCTATGGAGGGATGGGCAGTTTTCAGAGGGCTGGGGAACAGTTTTCAGCTTGCCCTCTCCAAAATGCTATAGAGATTTAGTGGTGAGACTTCCTATTTACTTTAACTTAACTTTAACTTTAGCAATTAAACAGTGTACTGTTTTCATTTTAGTTTAAATCTGCTGTTCTTTGGTAGGAATGTCAAGTCACAATTCCCATTCTCAGAAATTTTCAGAATGCCATGCTGGCACTTCCTGCCAAGGCTTCTTGCTGCCTGGTCAAGATTTCTCTCTGCTTCTTACAAAAATGTGACTTTGGCATCATCCTCCATCTCCATTTTGTTGCTTTTGTTTTTCACCTGTCACTCTGCACAGAAAACGTCCAAATTCTGTGCAGCTTATTGCCCTCTCCCATTCATCCTATGCAGGAAAGATTACATCCTGTGTAGGAATTGTAGTAATCCTGTTCAGTTTAGCTTGTATTCCTGGAAAAAAAATCAAGGAAGCTTCAGAGAAATCAGGCACATTTTCTGATGAGCTTCCTTGGAGGAGGGAGCCTTTGCAGAAAAAGCTTGCTGTGAAGACAAAGGCTGCCCCCCCTCTTCATTTTTTCTCCAAGAATGAAAAGCTGTGAAATGTCCATTGCTATTCTGTACCTTCATTATCTTAATTTCAGAATGAACTATTCAGAAGCCTTTAAGCCATGAACTGCAGTTATTTTTGCTTATATGGCTTGATGGTTAGAGGCTGGTTGGATACCAGATTCTGTCATTGTCTGATTCAATCATTCTCTGATGCCTAACTACTGTGTAGCCATCAAGTTCTACGGTAGGAAATAATAAATAGTCCCCAGTGAATACAGAAGGAAGCAAATTGAAGATGTCTAATTGAGGACTTCCTTATTCATAATAGTAATCATCATCATCATTCTCTTAGAACTGCAGAATTGGAAGGAATCTTATGGATCATTAAGTCCAGCCGTGTCAAGGAGGCAGTGTGGGGAATCAAACTCCCACCTTCTGTCTCTGCAACCAGATGCTTAAACCACTGTTTTAACTTCAGTTAAAAGAACCCAGCAGTTCTTTTAACTGAAGCCATTAGGGTACAGAACAATAGTTTTAAACAAAGAGAAAATATATCCCCTTAAAAAACACACACACACTCATATATTTCAAGGGGACCAGGATGCGCACACACACACTCCGCCAATGGCTTGGATGCAGTGTACAGCCAGAGGCTGTATGGTGCCTATAGCCAAGCTGGCTGGGGATTCTGGGACTGAAAAAGGAATGTTGCCCAGCTCTGACTGGCCTCTGTGAAAGAACCTATCCTCTGCTTCTACAATGGCATTGCTTGCTCAAGTATTTATTTATTTAAAATATTTTTACCCCTCTTTCTCCATAAATAAGAGCCGAGACAGTTTACATAATTAGAAAATAATCAAAGCTAAAAACAGTAAGTATACAAATACTAAAAAGAATCAAACACATGCCGCACTAAAACACAGTGAACAACTTCAATACCAAAAACACATTCAAAGGCAACAAGGCACACCAACCCATTTAAAAACTCCAGTCATGGAAAACTTGTCTGAAGAGAAAGGTCTTTGCCTGCTTGTGAAAGGACGGCAAAAGAGTGTGATTCCACATAACTATATGTTACTAAGACTTTGTCATTCAGCACAAACTCAGTAAGAAACAAGCCATAATTTTGCATATTTATAAACATTCTCATAAGAAGCATTCAGGCCCTTTGAGAGCTCAGGTGAGGCCTGGCCCATTTTACACTGTAGAGACTACACTTATTACTTTTGTTGTTTAGTCATTAAGTCATGGCCAACTCTTCGTGACCCCATGGCCCAGAGCACGCCAGGCCCTCCTGTCTTCCACTGCCTCCTGAAGTTGGGTCAAATTCATGTTGGTAGCTTCGATGACACTGTCCATCCATCTCGTCCTCTGTCGTCCCCTTCTCCTCTTGCCTTCACACTTTCCCAACATCAGGGTCTTTTCCAGGGAATCTTCTCTTCTCATGAGATGGCCAAAATATCAGCTTCAGGATCTGTCCTTCCTCATTGTTTTAGAGGAGGAGTAAAAAAATATTATACTGTAATGTATAGAACAGCATATAATGTTTTAAATTCATTTAATGCTTGACAGAGATACACCCATAGCAAGGTTCAGCCCCCCCCCCTTGAGATGAGGTCCAGGCGAAATAGCCCCACTGGGGTCCTTGCTCATAGAACCGAGTAACATTCATAGTTACCTTAGTTTTACAGATAGAAAAATGAGCCATAGAAAATAGAAAGGACTAGTAGATCATGGATTTTGTTAATGAAACCAAAGCTGGCATTAGATACAAAAGGGAAGTGGTTTTAAGATTAATTAGTTCAACAACACTCCAGTGGAAAAGCTAATTTTAACCAAAGCAGAGCCAGTTTATGTTAAAGCCATGTCTGATTTTGAGGTACAGGGATGCAGGCCTCAGCCACACAACCAGACGGCATATGATTTCTAGGAAGCAGTAAGTGTTCCTCAGTCTTCAGTCATATCTTAATTCTGAATTGGCTGCCAACTCTCCATCTTGACTGGCTAAACCTGTAAATCCACTCTTTCTTATCCCAAGCTTTCTGCATTTTAGCTTAGTTTAGGAGATTTGCTTTGTTGTCAGTGTTGCTAAGATCCCTCCAGATCTACTGCAAATCATGCCAAGATCAACCCTTAGATCCAGATTGAACTTGTTTCCACTCTTGGTTTACGCTTCAGCCACTCACTAACAGCAGTGCGTTCCTAGGCATCCTTACTCAGAGGTGAACTCCCCTTGTATTCATCATGCTGGATTGCCTGCTGTCTGTTTCTTAACTGAAAATGGAAGATACAGTAGTTCTAGACTTCCCCTAAAAGCCCAGGGCAAGCTCATTCACATCATTCTCTTATGAGTGTTACAGCCATGCTTGATTTCCATTTCCATTCCTTCAAGTCCTGGCGCCAAAGTATGCATGACAAGAGGGATCAGTGACTAAACGTCTCAACTTTTTCAAAACGTCACAACAGGCAGGCAGGCATTAGTTTTTGACAGGTACAATGGGAAGAGACAATGATTTAATCTGCTTCCTTTGGATCATTTGACTAAACGGATACTGTATTTGACATTGGATGAAATTGCTCTCTCCTCTGGCTGGTGTTTGCTACTTAAAATATCAAAATAGGGCAGAGGGAAGTCTTCCTCTCAATGGCTTTTTAGTTAAATGAAGAGAAAAATGACAGCTCTGATTTATATATTTATATATCTAAGGTATAATTATCTATCTGGCTTATATATTTATACATCTAGAGGTTACACATGGACTTCACCACCAGATTTTACCTTCACAGCAGCCTATGAGGAAGGTCAGGATCTGAAGGGCCCAGGACCACCTCGTGACATTCATGGTCAAGTGGACTCTTAACCCAGTCTTTCTCTAGTCTAGCACACTAGGCAGGCAGCACACAAAGGAGTCCTGGGTCAACATGTTTCATGCTCTTGAACATGCACTCGGACAGTGGTGTCCTTTTAACTGACGGGGTTCTCGGGTGAAGTCCTTTCCAGGTTTGTCTGTTCCTTTCCCCCACCTCACCAGTGAACTTTAAATGTCACTCACCTAAAGGGGGTCCACTGGTTCTGAGGGAAAGGCTTATATGAGACCGGACCCACTTGCACAGTGAAGGACATTGCGTGAGATGAACCTGCAGAAAAACACTCACCACAACCCTGCTGTATCATTTAAAAGGGCAGATGACTTTAATTGCAGATTGCCTTGGGGACAGGGCGTTCCTGGTCAAACAGGTATACCGCAGCCACCGGGAGCCCAGGCATATGCCCCAGGCCCTATTTTCCTGTTCACCATCATCATAAATCCAATGATGATGAGGAGCGAGCTGACAACCAAATTATATTTCTGCCGTACCTGTGTATATCTTGGCCTGAGCAAATGATCACAGGGTCTGAAGGAGAACATCTTCAGTTGTACACATTTGTGGTCATAAACAGGGGTTAGATCTTTGCTCTCAGAATAAAGGCTAATGTTTTAGAGAATGATCGTGCCTTTAAAAAAAAAACCCTAGGGAAGTTCTGCCTGCTTGATTTGTTTCTTTGTTTTTAGGAACTGGAATGAAGACCCAGCTTCAATTGTCAGTCACTGCCAACTGGCAGCCACCAGGGGCTTGCACGCGTATCACATTTGTACAACATGAGTGCACCAAAAATCTAGGAGCAAGATGGGTAGAGAGAGGCAATGGGGGCTTATACTTGGGCCCATTGTTGTGCCATTTGGAGTGAGGCAGAGGGTGGGGTGGAGCGTTGTGACTTGTGAGTGTTTTTAAAAATATATTATTATTATCAATTTTTCATTGGGTAAGGGAAGATCATAGGGAAGGGGATTTGGATCAGGGTACTGGGATAAATAAAAGATACAGAATGTGATAGAGAACAGTATATATCATTATTATTTTTCTTACTAAGCTTATTTCACACTAATCTTTTTTTTCTAAGTCTTTAAATTATAAAATTGTATCTTATAATTTCTTTCTCATAATTTTAACCCATTCATGTTCTCATCTCTCATCCATTTATACAAAGGTTGCCACTTTTTTCTAGCCTCAGCAATTCCTTTGTCTTTTAATATTTAAGTTAAAATATCCATCTCTGCTGCTTCAAAAAAAATTTCTGTTAACTCTTGGGTTGTTGGAGTCTCCTCATTTTCCCAGTATTTGGCATATAAAATTCTTCCTGCTGCAGTTACACGTATGATCAAATGTATTTTTTTCTTTTTCTATCGAGTCTGGTATTATATTCAACAAAAACAATTCAGGTTTGTATGGAATTATAGAGGATAACATTTTTTGTAAAAACTCATGGACTAGTTTCCAAAAACCCTTAGCTTCCCTACAAGTCCACCACATACAATAAAAACTACCTTCTTTGATTTGTATTTCCAACATTTGTTAGAGGTACTTTGGTATATCTTCGATAATTTTTCAGGTGTCATACACCATTGCTTTTGTTAGTTTAATATTACCTTCCCATATTTGTCACCATGACTTTAACATTGTGGCCCACATTTTGGGCCCATTTTATCATGCATTCTTTAACTATTTCATCGTGGGGTGTGGGTGAGAGAGATAAAGCCCTGGAAAGAGCAGAGCTGTCAATGAGGGAAAGGGGGGGTAGGATGAGTCCTTGACATCACTGGAGGAAAGCTCATGGCCTCGAGGCAGAGAGAGGGGTGATTGACAAGGCATGAGGGCAGGACATATAGGGAAAAAGTTTTGGGGGAGACCGCTTCAGTCACCCAACCGTCCTCATTTTACTATGATTTTTTTTAAGTTAAAGGTACCACGTAAGACTGTTGCTTAAGAGTTTCTTCTTTTCCATTAATATTGGTTGTGCAAAGGCTTCCATTGGTGAGACCCATTCAGGAACTTTTTGGTAATTTTCTTCCTGGATCTTGGTCCATACCCAGTTTAAGTCTTTCCTTATCAGATGGTTCTTAAATTGTTTATTGTCTTTTGCTTTTTGATACCATAGAAAGGCGTGCCATCCAAGATTTAAATCATATCCTTCTAATTTTAATATTCTGTCATTTTCTAAAACCATCCATTCCTTTATCCAAACTAGAGCACAGACTTTATAATATAAATATAATATAATATACCCTGTTTCCCTGAAAATAAGACCTAACCTGAAAATAAGCCCTAGTATGATTTTTCAGGATGCTCAGAATATAAGCCCTACCCCAAAAATAAGCCCTAGTTAAGTGCAACCCCACCCTCCACCCTTGTGCAGCATTGTGTAGCAACTACAAGATGACATGACTGTAAAATAAAACACCCCCTGAAAATAAGCCCTAATGCATTTTTGGAGCAAAAATTAATATAAGACTCTTATATTTTTGGGGAAACACAGTAAAAACCAATCTGCAAGTCCAAAGCCTGCTCTTTGTTTTGTATCTTGAAGTGCTTTGATTTTTATTCTAGGTTTTTTTCTCTTGCCAAACAAACTTTTTTTTTTTGGGGGGGGTGGTAAATTCTTGAAGTATTAATTGTTTTGTAAGAACTGACCTTGTTTGAAAAAGAAATGTCATTTTAGGGGAT